AGGCGACACTGAAATGTTTTTTAAGAAGTTTGCAGGGAAAGTAAAACTTTTTTTTGCAGGGGGAGGGGAAAAAATAGTTTATTTTCTTTCTACGAATACGGATAGCAAAAAAAAGGGAAAAAAGTTGCTGGCTGGGCTGGGTGAGCGAGGGTTTGGCAATGAGCGGGCGTAGGTTTGAAAAAGCCACTCCTTCATCTGTCTTCCCTTCATTCCCCCCTCCCACTTCTCCTACTAAAGCAACAAAACTTCTCCAGCAAGGATTGGCTCCAAGATGGCGAAAGCCTACGATTATCTCTTCAAACTGCTGCTGATCGGGGACAGCGGGGTGGGAAAGACCTGTCTGATCATCCGCTTCGCTGATGATAACTTCAACAGCACTTACATCTCCACTATCGGTGAGTCTGGCTTAGGAGAGAGAGAGGGACATACAGAGAAACTTTTTCCCCTTTCTCCCCTCCCTGTCTCTCTCTCTCCTTTTCCCTTTGACTTTCTGTCGACTCCATTCTTTCTCAGAAACAGTGTTTTATCTGATTACAAAACAGAATCCTCTCACCCCCCCCCCCACCAGCTTTTGAAAGAAAATGTTTCTTTCAAAACAGTACAGTGAAAGGGTTCTTTTTTGATTTTTTTAAACAAAAAGTAGCTAATGTTTCCTGCTGGGTGAGTCAGACTGGGACCTCTGTGTCATTTTCCTCTGGCTAAAACTGATCCTTTGATTTATTTTCTTTCCTCCACCTTTTTTCCCCTCCCCCCTTCTCCCTGCCCTGGTTATCCCAGCTCTCTTTGTTTTATTGACCGACTGCCCATATCTCTGTCTCATCAAACTCATTGTACCAGTGACTTGTGTGGTGTGGTTGAGGGAGGCACACGCAGATCATTGGTAGGCTTTCAGCAGGGTGCAGTCAGTAGTTGGGGAGGGGGTGTGTTGGTGCCAGTCTGTATGCCCACCCCACAGCACCCTCAACCCATGCCCTTAGACCCCATCCATTCAGGTGGCATGGAGGCTCAGTGGTTAGCTACGCTGCCTCCCAGCACCAAGACCCGGGTTTGATTACCCCCTCTGTGGGTGACTGTGCGGAGTTGGCCCATTCACCCTGCCCTTTGTCTACGTGATTTTCCTCTGGGTGCTCCGGATTCCTCCCACAGTCCAAAGATGCGCAGGTTGGGGTGGATTGGCTGTACTAAATTGCCCCATAGTGTCCAGGCATGTGGATTGGCTGTGCTAAATTGCCCTGTAGTGCCTAGGGATGTGTAGGTTAGGGTGGATGGGCCATGCTAAATTGCCCCATAGTGTCGAGGAATGCGCAGATGAGAGTGGATTGGTCGTGGGAAATTGTCCCGAAGTACCCAGGGATGTGCAGGTTAGGGTGGGTTAGCCATGGGAAATGGAGCATTACAAGGATAGGGTAGAGGGGTCGAATGCTCTTCAGAGGGTTGGTGTGGACTCAATCGGCTGAATGGCCTGTTTCCACGCTGTAGGGAGCCTGCGAATGAACGGGGTGATGATGTTGAACCATGTGAGAGCCTGACAGGTGACCGGACAGAGTTGGATGTTTCTGCCCTGCAGTCTAGAATGAGAGGGTGTGAGGACCACCGTTTAAAACAAAAAGAAGATAGAAAGATACCTTTTCTCTCATTGGGTCATTGGTCCTCCCTGGAAAGCAGCAGAGATATTTAAAAGCAGAGATCAACAGCTTCTTGACTAACAAGGGAGTCAATAGGTACAAGGGGTTAAACAGCAAAGTGGAGTCGAGGCCACATTCGGACCTGCCTTGATCGTCTCGGCTAGCAGAGGGATTGAGTGGCCTCTTCCTGCTGCTCACACGTAGATTTGTATGGAAGAGGCTGCGCTATACAACGTAACCCTTAATTTTCTAATGGTTCAGCAGTTGTCCTCTAGCTTGGAGGTATGTGTGGGATCGCTTCCTGCGCCAGGACCCAAATGCGTTATCGGCGCAGTGCTGAGGGAGTGCTGCACTGCCAGAGGGGCTGTGTTTCGGACAAGTCGTTAAACTGAGCAGTCTGCCACCTCGGCTGGAGGTTAAAGATCACGTGGCATTCCTGACAGGGGGTTTGGGGGTTCTCTCTGGTCAATATTTCACCCGTCTAAAATAAAAAGCCCAGGTTATCTGGTCATTTGTGGGATCTTGCTGTGCACAGTTTGACCGCTGAGTTTACCTCCATAAGTAGCATTGACAGCATTTCCAGCATTAAGGCATTTCCTGAATTACCAGACAGGATCTCGATAAATACGTAAACCAGGCTGACACTTCCAGTGTGAGAGCTGCACTGTCGGAAGGTCGGTGCTGAGGGAGTGCTACACAGTTGTAGAGTTTGCGATGAGGGAGCACCATCTCGGCATCGGTTCTGAAGGATTGCTGCGCTGTTGGGTGTTATCTGATGAAACATTAAAGAAAGATTCACCTGCCCTCTCAGGTGCACATTAGAGATTTCTCGGCACCATTTGAAAGAAGAGCTGGGAAGGGCAGTTCACCCCTGTGTCTGGGGCCATATTGATCCTTCTACCAACATCGCCAAAACAGTTGCTCTTTCGTCTCATTGCTGCCAGTGGTAACTTGCTGTGCTTTGAGTCAGGACCTCTGTAGGCAATGTACAAATGAAAGTGTTGCCTTTCCTGTCAACTGATCTGAAGTTTTGTGAGTGGAATCTGATCTGCAATGTTGGTTGTCCCCAGCAATCATTGTGAACTTGAGAGTGTGTGCACACCTCAGGGACAGTATAATTTGAGGAGAGAGTTTTTTTTTAGCTTTGCATATCTGTGGCTCTCAAATATGGAGTCAAAGAAAGTACTTGCATTTTTGTCACCTCTTTCACAACCTTAAAACGTCCCAAGGCTCTTCGAAACCAATGGGAGTTTTGAAAGGTAGCCGCTGTTGTGATGTTCAGAAAAGATTTACAAGGATGCTGCCACGGTTGGAGGGTTTGAGCTACAGGGAGAGGCTGAATAGGCCGGGGCTATTTTCCCTGGAGCGTCGGAAGCTGAGGGGTGACCTTATACAGGTTTATAAAATCATGAGGGGCGTGGATAGGGTGAATAGTCAAGGTCTTTTGCCCCAGAGTAGGGGAGTCCAAAACTAGAGGGGCATAGGTTTAAGCTGAGAGGAGAAAGATTTAAAAGGGACCTGAGGGGCTGCTTTTTCAGACAAGGGTGATGTATGTAGGGAATGAGCTGCCAGAGGAAGTGGTGGAGGCTGGTACAGTACAACATTTATAAAGCACCTGGATGGGTATATGAATAGGTAGGGTTTAGAGGGATATGGGCCAAATGCTGGCAAATGAGACCAAATAGATTTAGGATATCTGGTCAGCATGGACGAGTTGGACCGAAGGGTCTGTTTCTGTGCTGCATAGCTCTATGACTGTATGACCAGATAATGCAGTTGTTTTGTGATATTTGATGAGAAGATAAATATGCGCCCCAGGGACGCCGAATAGGAGTTCCTGCCCTCTTTACTGCTGTTCTTCAAAAGTGCAGCCTTGATTTTTTTTACATGCAGACAGGAGCTGGGGTTAATGTCCTCAATGCCCAATGTAAACATTGATCTGATAACTACAGACCCGCTATCTGTCTTTGCAGCTAACTGAGAAATATACAAAACCAGAAACATGTGCAACGTCCTTTGAATTGGTATTATTAAGTTTGTCTTTTGCATCGTCTGTCTCAAAGCCTTGCAGGATTTTTGGACTTGAGCGCTAAATGCAAGCAGAACAGGGGTAGACTCGGGTCAAGTGAGGATTGTAGAAGCTGGGACTGCTCACCTTAGAGAGGTTTACAAGGAGATTTGATCAGGGTGTTCAGAATCACGCTGGGTGTGGACAGAGTTCTGGAAATAATTGTGTGAATCTAATGTGGTGGGGGTAGGGTGCAGGGATTCAAAAGTAACATGAGATTAAAAAGGTTTTCAGGCAGCGAGTGGTTAGGGTCTGGAATGCGCCGCCCGAGGGTGTGGTGGAAGAAGGGTTCAGTCGAGGCTTTCAAGAGAAAATCAGACTGTGTTCTGAAAAGGAAGAAGGGTAAGGAGGAGAACCACACTGATGGGCTGAGTGTCCTCCTCTTTCACTGTAACCATTGAATAATTCATGGGTGAAAGACAAAATATAGTACCCAGCTTATTGCGTCACACTGTGACCCAGCGTTGTTCTGGGAAATCTGGGTCAGGCTGTAGGCAGGCAGGAATTACAGATTCTACTCCAGCTCCCAAACTTTCGACATAGCAGATCACATACCCTCTGTCTTTTGCGCACACATTCCACAGCCACAGCAGTGAGTTGGGCCAAATATTTACGATATAAATCAGTGATTAAATGACTGCATCTCGAAGAGTCGACAGTTTGCAGATCGAGAGGCAGTCTTGTTTTCTCCCCGCCCACACCTCCAGCGAGTCCAATTTCTACACCTTATAGAGACTCTCCAGTGCTGAAACATACCATTCGGCCCATCAAGTCGACTTCGAGCACTCCGTCCACTCTGAAGAGCATCCCACGTGGTCAGACCCTTAGCCCTGTAACTTTGCATTTCCCGTGGCTAACCCACCTAAGCCTGCACATCTTCTTGACACTACAGGGCAATTTAGCACGGCCAATCCACCCTAACCCACACATCCCTGGGC